AGTGAGCGGGCAGCCCTATAAATTCCCTAAATAAATAAAATAAAATACTTCTCTTCTTTTAGTTCTGGAAAATTAAAAAAAATCAGGGAATGATGCATGGAAATCCTTTTGTTGTTGTTGTTATTCTGCTTGGGGGTATTATTTTGGCTGGGACCAAGGGTGGGGAGGGGAGGTTAAACGCCATTCTTAAAATATTTTTAAGAATATTTCGATTGCAGACAAGGTCCCAGCCCGTACGATTGGTTCTTGTGATGCATCCAGTCTGTAAATTTGCATTCTGACCTGTCTCTACCTCCCAACTCTTCTCGTCTTCCAGGATCCATCCACCATGCCAGAGGTTAGAGAGCTCACCGATGCTTTGGCCAACGTGCCTATGGACCCCATTACCGGCGTTGGCGTCGTCGCCTCCCGGAACCGGGCCCCGACCAATTACGACGTGGTGAGTATGAAGCCCACCCAACCATCCCCTGGATGATACTTGCTCCTTTCCTTCCTCCTCCGTGTGTGTGTGTGTGTGTGTAATGCGCTGGCACGCAGTGTGCGTTGCAGGGTATTCTTTTTTTTAAAAAAAAAAAAAGCACTGAACTCTCTGGAGCTGGGAGCTAACTTTAAGCCTGGTTAGCAAAGCTGGGTTCGTGGCACATATCATTCCCAAGCCAATAAACCATGATCTTTTCCTAAGCCGCCCAGAATTGCTTTGTTGGTGAGATGGCATATAAACATAACCTATAAACCTGTATAACATATACATACAATATATAAATAAGACGAAGGTATCCTTGATGCCTCTCGTTCTCGCAGACGTTTCATTACCAAACTAGGTAACCTCATCAGAGCTAGTAAAAGCGGGATTTGCTTTCACGTTATATTCCAGTGGCTTGCCCTCTCAATGTTGCTTTTCATTTCAAATATTCTCTTTTATCAATAAATAAAATAAAATAAGTTAGACTGTTTCACCTGTGCTAAAGTAAGTAGTGAGTATCCCAGGCAAGTGAAGATGTAAACCAGTGGTGGCGAACCTATGGCACGGGTGCCAGAGGCGGCACTCAGAGCCCTCTCTGTGGGCACATGCGCCATCGCCCCAGTCCTGGGCCTTCAGCTGGGTTTTATAAAACCTTTTCGCTTTAGGCCTCCACTGCCGTGTACAAAAAAAAAGGTTCAATCTATCAGTCAATTTCAACTTCTTGCGGGAAAAAAAAAGATCTTGCAAAGTTGGAATTGATTGATTGAACTTTTTAGTCCCACCCAGTCTGCCGTTACCACTGCAGCCACGCCCATCCAATGGGCCCCGCCCACCCAATGGGTCACACCCAGCCAATGGGCCACACCCGCCCGGCACCCGACGATGCATAAGTGGGTTTTGGGTTGCAGTTTGGGCACTCGGTCTCTAAAAGGTTTGCCATCACTGATGTAAACTATATCTGACTTAACACTGTATGAGAATGCAGGCTAGCTGTTCTCCAACAGCCATGCAGGAATCTATCCTGGTTTGGTGAGGGGTCATATCTGAATCCAGGTTTCTCTGCCTTCTACTTGGTGATTGTTTGGATAATTCCACACCACTTGCTGCTCAGTTCTTTCTTTCTTTCTTTCTTTTTCCTAAAGCAATTTTAAAATTAAAGCACTCTAATAAAAAAAAGGGGGGGGAATAGAAATTAAAAACTGTGCGTACACATTTCTGAGTTCAGTAAAAAGGAAGTCGTTCGGTTGATTCATTATTTTTGCAACAGCGTGCCGAGGCAGATGTCGGAGGATAGTTTTCACACCCTCAAGAGGACTAGCGACTTAAAAAAAAATCGAATTTATGTGTAAGGAAATTTACTAAGGTGATGCCGTATTTTATTTTCAATACTATCCCTGCTTTTTACCACAGGCTGTTTCTTCAGACTCTATAAATCTGGCTTAAATGCTTGCTTTGTTCTTGTAATCAACCACTAACGCTGGGGGGTTTTTTTGCCCCGAGCCCTGGCTGCATAGCTTACAAAAATGCAGGTTTTTGAGAGCTTCTGGCTGTGACCCTATTTAAGCTGATGACCGATCCGGTTTTAGCTTCAGCCAAAACAGCACCTTCTAGCTATGATATTGTTTGGAGAACTTGCAGGGAAAAAATAATATTTTTTTTTTAGGGAAAACAAAATAAAGGAGACGTGATTGGAATTTTTAATATTGGGGGGGAGAAGAATTTTGCAGATCATCTGTCTGGAATCTCAAACAGGAGCCTTCTGTGAGTAGCTACTGTATTTCCTCATACCTGATGGCTGATAAGGCAGCCCTGAAGTTCACTACTTCAAATTCCAAGAAGGATGGCTGGGGTGTTTTTTGTTTGCTTTGCTTTGTTTTTCCACAAATTGAGAATCAGGAGCCGGCTTTTGAAATGTTTTGCGAGACGGAAAGAAAGATTCTCGATCCATCTGTCAGGTGTATGGGTCTGCCCAGGTTCGAATCCCATAAAGGGTATGGCTAACTGATGAAAGCAGAATGAGCTAGAAATGGCCATCTTAGTCTCCCAATTTAATTCTTTAACTCTTTGTCAGAAAAAGAAATTTGGATTTATATATATATATATATATATTGCACCGGGGCAGGGGTTAAGTGCGCCTTTGGCATTCTGCAGGGAAAGAGCAGAGAATGTTCTTGGAGGCTAACAAGGGAAGACAGATTAGAACATGTGCAGGCTGGTGGCTGACATTTTGACAGTTTTCCAGGTGGGATTGGGACGGAAGCTTTGGGGCCACAAGGAGAAGCAGCTGTGTTTATTGAGGACTCAAGACGATGCTGAAGGCAATTGATTTCTAATGTTCCCAGAAAAACAAGCTGGGAGTATAGAGAGAAATAGATGGATGGATGGATGAATGGATACATAAATACATAGGATAGATAGAAGGATAGGATAGCTAGCTAGCTAGGATAGATTGGAGAGAGAGAGATAACTAGATCCAATGGATGGATGGATAGATAGATAGATAGATAGATAGATAGATAGATAGATAGATAGATAGATAGATAGATAGATAGATAGATAGATAGATAGATAGATAATTGATAAATAGGTATAGAATGGATAGATGATTGATAAATCAGTATGGAATGGATAGATAGTTTGGATAGATGAGTGGATAGATGGATGGATAGATGGTACATAGATAAAACGGGTGGATAAAATGGATAGACAGAGATAGGCCACCTATTTCAATGGGAACGAATGAAAAAGGGAACAGAATTCATACAAACCCATCCGGTTTTTCGGGTTTATCCTTGGCCGTGCTGTCTCTCTCCCAGTAAAGTTTCAGCCCCTTTGCTGCTTTTAAAAAAGCTCTCCGGATTTTCTTCAGGTGCGGCGTTTTTGCTATTTGAACAGCCAATCCTAAAACCCCCCAATAAATCTCCCCAGACACAACAGAGAAAGAGAAGTTCCTTTAAAAAATAAAATAAAAATAAACCCTTAGCGATGGTGCGTCATTGTGGTGGTTTGCTAGAAAGCTGAAAACCTCCAGTGTGCTTTGGTTGAAGTGTTGAGTGGCTGTTTGCGGTTGTGCGCAGCAGAGCAGGGGGTTGGCTTGTGTGCAAGGAAATGCATGCTGGGAGTTGAATAACAGAATAACAGAGAGGGGAGGGACCTTGGAGGTCTTCCAGTCCAACCCCCTGCTCATGCAGGAGACCCTATGCCATTTCAGGCAGACGGTTGTCCGATCTCTTCTGAAAAACCTCCACGTTCACAACTTCTGGTGGCAAGCCGTTCCACTGATTAATTTGTTCTCCCTGTCAGGAAATTTCTCCTTAGGTTGCTTCTCTCTGGAATCTGGAACTCAGCTGGCTGATCCTTGCAAGGGCCGGCTGCTAGGACAGTGTAGTGGTTAAGTTGTTGGTGTGAGAGAGAGAAAGTTGACAAGATATAGTAGTTGTGGTGTGGCTGATAGGAAGGGAGACCCCCATTTAAGCTGCCTTCAGCTTTCTCAACCTCTGTGTGGACTTCAACTCCCAGAATTCCCTACTCAGCCAGCTGCAGAATTCTGGGAGTCCTGCAACCAGCATGCTGGAGAATTCTGGGAGTTGAAAATTTCACATTTCTGAAGGTTGCAGAGCCTGGGAAACACGACAGCCGGTCCTCGACTTAAAACAGTTCATTTAGTGACCGTTCAGAGTTGCAACGGCACTGAAAAAAGGGACTTAGGGCCGTTTTTCACACTTACGACGGTTGCAGGTCACGTGATCAAAATTCAGACGCTTGGAAACTGACTCCTATTTATGACGGTCGCAGCGTCCCGGGGTCACGTGATCCCCTTTCTTAATCTGTTAGGGAAGGGATGCATTCATTTTCAAAGCTCTTCTCTTAAAGCCTGATAAAAGGATCTTTTCTTCTGAACTTACAAACGCTGCATTCTGTAACGGAAAAAAAAGCAAAAAAAAAAAAAAAAGGTACATGAAGGATTTATTTGACTTTGGAAGGCCAGCCTCAGTTCTTCTTCTGTTCCAAGTTTCAGCTATTTTTCACTGTTTTGTTTTTTGGTGTTTTCTTCCCCCCCTAGTAGATTCCTTCATGTTTCAATTTCCCAGGATTTGGGTCTGGCAAGCTCTGTCTTTTTTTTTCTGGCACATCCCAAAAAGCTTTCTTTCCCTTTTTTTTTTCTTTTTGGAGATTTGAACTGAAATGGCATTGTCGACATTCCACCGCTGCTGCGCACATTTTGTGGCAAATGTTTGTCGTCAGAATGCTCAAGGCTGACGGGAGGAAATTATCCTGAGATGAAATCACCTCTTTGAAGTTTCTTTTTTTTTTTTAACTCCCCCCCCCCTTTAAAAAAAAAAAGGAATGCTGGGTTTATTGGCTTGCCGTTTATAAACAACATTGAAAAACAATTGCATACCAAAGTTCTTAAGTCTGCCCGAAAACAGCACAACGTTTGATAACACAGAATTTCATCTTTTTCCGGGTTTTTCGCTTATCTTTCCAGGTAGAAAACATTATAAAGGAAAGTACAATTTACCAGCAGGAACAGATTTTATGATAGATAGATAGATAGATAGATAGATAGATAGATAGATAGATAGATAGATAGATAGATAGATAGATAGATAGATAGATAGATATAGATAGATAGATAGATAGATAGATAGATAGATAGATAGATAGATAGATAGATAGATAGATAGATAGATAGA